GAGAGAGAGAGAGAGAGAGAGAGAGAGAGAGAGAGAGAGAGAGAGACATACTCCCCTCAGGAATGACTGACTTCATAGACTTCAGCTAGCATATTACAGGTACATGAGGCCACATTTTACAAGCACAAGGCATAAAAAAAAAATCAATATAGTATGCTCACTAGAAGGTCATCTATCTTATGGATAGAAATTCACCTCTGAAGGCAGAACAGTGATCATAAGAAGGAACAGAATGAACACAGGCATTTGACAGGATTGTTTGGGTTTGAGGGCTTGCTTTATGTGTGTTTATCTGTGAATCTCAGACTTCCTTAATAACCCAGTTTCACCATATGCAAAGTTTTAACTAATTTATTTTCAAAAGTGATTTTGTATGTTTCTTTATGTAGATAACCAGTTCTGACCAGGTTTGAATTATAACTTCATTGTTTAATAGGTATAAAATTTGTCATCCTCATCTATAACAAAGGGGTAGCACCCAATTCACAGGGTTGGTGGACTATTATACCAGACTCCATGTGTGAAAGTAATGGGTAAGCCTGGCAGAGAAATGCAATGGAGCTTCAACAGTTCTTGCTCTAACAATCAGAAATCACCATTTGGAATAGTTAAAACAGAAGCCTTAATACTTACAACCCATATATCTGTGGTGCAATTTCTAGTCGGTTCAAATGCATGTAGAGTTCAATGTCATGCTTCTTCAGCAGATGATCCTGGATCTGGTTGACTTTAGTAACAATGGCAATTGTTGGTCCTAAATCTTGTGGTCTAGCAAAGGGGATGGGAGTCATCAGAGTTTCTTTTCCCTAAAAACAAGGAAAATAGAGCATGTATTATTTCAGTGGGAAATTAAGAAACATATCGATATTATTCTTCAATTTATTCATTAAAGGTAGTTTAAAGAAGCCAAACTACTTGTCATGACAAATGCATAAAATGTTGACCTGTATACTGACCCAGTGATGACTGTGCTCATAAAGCAACAACCAAAATACGTCTTAGAAAATATTTTCACCTGTATTCCCATGAACAGCTTCCCCTGTGGCATTAACTTTTATAAGATAATTTCAGCTAGCCTTGGTGATGGCCGCTACATCATTTACATCATTTCCTGGTGAGTTTATTTGATCAGCCACAGTATATAAATGGAATGATTTGATGGAAGTTTCTATCTTGTGGCATAAAATGAAAGCATGAAAAACACTGAATGAGAACTGTTTAAGTTCTCAAAACTATATAAAAAGGGGAAGAAACAAAGGAAATAATTTCTAGAAACGATGTTTTCTATTGTCCTTTTGTCAATTTAAATAGCAGAGTAAAAAGATTTTAGAGCTCCCCAGAACACAAGTATACTTGACTTGGAAGATAAAATCTGTTGGGCCCTCACTCAAGTTCTGTTTCCTGCCAGTAGAGAAATTAGCTAACTTCCATGTATGCTTTAATGCAAACATCAAATTCTCATGTACTCCTCAAATCAGAGAGTTTTCCCAGATTGTCTGACCTGCCTCTGACTTTCAGTCCTCACTTTTGACCTCAGTGCCACTGGAGTTTGTAGGGTCACTGTCTGTGATTCTCAGCCTATTTCTGGGACAGATTGCTGATGCTTCTTCAAGCCTCCATTTTCATAGAGAACTTGTATTAGTTGATGTCTATTCAAATGCTCTCCCTAAGCGACTGCATCACAGATAGAGCTCCAGTAACTGCACAACCTTGTGAATACACTAAAAACAGCATACATTTTAAAAAGGTGAATGTTATGTGACTAACTCCACAAAAAATATTTTAGCTCGGTGTAGTGGCACATGCCTTTAATCCCAGCACTCTGGAAGCAGAGGCAGGTGGATCTCTGTGAGTTCAAGGCCAGCCTGGTCTACATAGTGAGTTCCAGGACAGCTGGGGCTAAAGGGAGACCCTGTCTCAAAAGGACCAAAAAAAAGAAAAGAAAAATATTTTTAAATAAGGAAAAGAAAGTAAGGACAAAGGTATTTGCTAAATGTGTGACATCAATAGTAGCATACTAAGAAAAATAAAAGTATCTGATACAGATTTTTATTAATGTACTTCAGTAACAGTACATTCACAAAACTCACTAAGATAGCAATAAACATAGTAAATATAATAGTGAAGTGGTGGCACATGCTTTTAATCCCAGCATGATAAAGGCAGAGGCAGGTGAGTCTGTCTGAGTTTGAGGCCTGCTTGGTCTACACAGTGATTTCCAGGCCGGCTAGCATTACATAGTGAGATCCTGTCTCAAAAAACAAAACAACAAGTTTTAAATTTTTTTTTAACTAATTAGCAATATTGTATGAATAATATGCACCTATAAAGGTAGGTTTCCATTTACTTATATGGCATCTTTTTATTGTGTTTATTTATCTGCCAATATTATTAGAATATATTACAGATTCCCAGGTTCAATATTATTCCCTAAGCATTTTCATATTTTGTTATAGGAATAATGATTATGTCTTACATTGCAATAAGGTGACTGTAACTATTCTGCTATATGTTGCTGTATACCGAATTTGGTTTTTTATTCCAGAATACTGAAGAGTACTGTAAGAGTTACCTTCTGACCGTCATGCTCAAAAGTAGAAAACCAAGGTTCAGCAGTTTCCATAAGCTGTGAGAACATTGCACTAAAATTAGAAAAATAAAATAATGTAATTTTAATTTTCTTTAAAGTATTGATGATATAAAAAAGAACAAAAGAATTGTCTTAGTACTTACTAGGCATCATGCTCCAGATATTCAGGGTTCAAGAGAGTTTTCATTTCCTCACTTAAAAGAGCAATACAAGCAATCAAAATGTGTAATTCTGTAATAACTGAAGTAGATGTAGTCTGCCTTATTCTATGTTCATAGTCAACTTGCATATAATGTACAAAATTTGTCTTTTCAAAGATCAACTCAACAACTGAAATCCTTTTTTTTCTATTAAGATCAAAACCAAATTATCTGCATGTCTGTGTCACAATAAAGTAACTGTAAGTATCTAATTACTCCCAAGTGACAAATATAAAAGATGACTATATATATCTTGACCATATTTGATCTAGAATAATTTATTACTTTACGACATAGCACTTACCATTGAAATCAAAACGAAAATACAGTTATTGATTGAATATGCAATATCAAGACAGTTTGTTTATTTTAATGGCTTCTATTTTTATTTACTCTTAATACCAATTAATCATTGACAGCACCTTTAATAAATCTATATCAGTGCTGCTTTTCCTTTGTAATAGAGTGAAAGAGCTAACAAAGTCTGCTCATTCCGAACTTAATTTTTAATCTCCTTTAATTTCCTGTAAAGTGTCTTCTGCATGCAAGGCTCTGCAGAAAGAAAACTGGCATGAAAACATGATCCTCAAAGTAATTTCATTATTAGAGTTTACAATAATTGACGTTAAAGCAGTTAAAAGAGGGTTACTCATGTCAAGATTTGATGGAGTCAATAAAATCAGAAAAGTAAATCTTGAAACTACTAATCTGTATTCTAAAAGACAAAAGCTAATTTAACATATATGCTCAACAACATGAACAGCTTATATGTGATCATGAAAGATACAGACACGTGACAACTGTCAGCAGGTTTTTGCTGTGTTCAGCTCACTGAGATTATAATACTCTTGACAAAGCCTTATAATCCTATAAGCCTCCATTCCTGAAATATTCTGGGTTACCTCATGGGTATATTAAATTATAAAATTAAATTTTAACAATTACCTATTTGAGTCCAGTTACAAAAGTCATTTATAAGAAAGAACAACTGACTGTACCTCAGAAACACTAAAAGCTATTTTATTTTACTGATTGAAGTCCTTAGTAGGACCGCTCCTTTATCAACCAAGCTGAGGGAAAGGTGGTAAGAAGAAAGTTTCAGAATGTTCTCATTCAACGACTGGTGAAAAAAGAGCATAGTACCCTGCGGTTTTTCATCATCAATATTTTATAACTGCAACACACATTTCCTCTTTTTTATCTAAAAGTTGTATGTCTTTATTTGACAAAGACCTAAGATTTTAAAAGACATTTATGGTTCTAAATGCCCCGCAGCTAAACTGACATTAGAACTATGAAGTGTATTAGTATCAAGAAAAATTTTGCAGTTTAAGAAAACAGTAAGAGAGCAAGGGTTATAGGAAGGAATACCCCCCCCACCCCCCCACACACGTGAAGACTTGCCTGGGCTGCGCAGACTCACTAGCATGTAGAAAAGCTTGGTGGTCACAGTGAAGGGTGAAGATGATAGGTGCTAGCAGCTCGTGCATACCCTGGAACCCAAGAACAAGAATTGAATGGGAACGGAGAGCTCATTTCTGGAGAGCACCAGCTGAGTCAAAGGCTTTTTTCCTTTTTGCTCCAGTGTTTGAGATTGAACCCAAGGTCTCATGCATGTAAAGCAAACACTCTGCCTCAAAACTATATTCTCAACCCATAAAATGCTTACTCAACCAGCCCCTGCCACCAAAATGTCCATGTTATATAAAAAAGCATAAAAGTGGAATATTACTAAATGACTTTTATCTGCTTTTATAATTTGACTCCAATTCAACCAGAGTATGTATTCTTTAAAATACAGGGAGCAGTTCTCTTTTAGATGCCATTACAAACAATAAATTGGCATGGTAGACAACCTTGCACCTGTCAGTTGCTTCAAGATCTGCACGCATAAATATGAATATCATTTATGCAAATTATAATCATGAGCTACAGTATAAAGATCTGCACTAAGGGCAACTAAGAACTGTAGACCTAAGAAATTACATCCAATGTTTTCATTATATAATGGCTCAAAATTGGGATGTCTGTAGATTTAGGAAGAGCTGAAGTCAGCTAGACAGGAACAGCAGATAATAAAAAAAACAGAGCCTTCAGCAAGCATGACAGGAAGTAAAGTTTTCAATATAATTTTCAGCATATTTTATCAGAAATCCAACATTTTCCCCTGCATACTTCAACTACAAAGTTAGTTTCAAATTTACTTAAAAGCATTCTTCAATAAAACATTTTTTCTTAAACTAGTGTTAAACTATAGATCATACAAATAGGCACAGAAATAAAAAGACAGAATGTTAGTTATTAACCTAGCTTTTAAAAGTTATTCTTATGAACTATCCACTTGTAGGGAAACAACTTACTACATTTGTGACTATCCTTATTAATACAGATTTTTCTCCTTTTAACATAAAACATAATACTTTGCATTTAAATACACAATATGTTCTTTCTTGCTTCTTAAAGTAAACAAATATTACCTTCCTTTTATTAAACAAATATGAAAACTCTTTCATTAAAAAATGGGGGAAATTATCAAGTTTGTAGGGAAATCCGCGCACAGCTACACAGGAATGAAGAGAACATTCTGTTGGTGGCGTCCTGTGCTGAAGGACAGGCTCATCTGGCCTCTGCACAATCTAGCAACACTTTGCTTGTCTTAGGAGGCCAATTGTTACCACAAAGATGCTATGAGTACACTTAATCAGTTGTCACTGGTTAGCTGAAGTCTTGAATTAAAATGATTTAGTGACATACTTGTATGGAAGCTCATGATCAATTTACTTGGTATGTGGGACAAACTACTGCACTGCAATTAAATTATTTTGTGTGACCCTTAGAACAACATGGCAGACACTCATATCAAGTGAACTACTTTAAAAGTCATCATCTACTTAATGTACTTAATGTAGAAAATTATAGAAAAGCAAAAGCAAAATGAGAACGAAGCAGTCAGGCTGGTCAAAAAACAAACAAAATCTAACAGAAACCCTTTTAAAAGTATTTTTTGTTAATTTTATTTTATGTTTATGAGTGTATTGCCTGCACCCATGTTGTACAATGCCTGTGGAGGTGAGAAGGGGGCATCGGAACCCCCAGAACTGGAGTAACTAGAGGGTGTTGGGACCGAACCTGGGTTCTATGCAAGAGCAGCCAGTGCTCTTAACTGCTGAGTCACTTCTCCAGGCCCCATAGAAACCTTTGTGGTAATCCTTTTGCAAGTTTCTGATGGCTTGTTCAGAATAGTCCTTTAAATTAGAATTTCTGGGAAAGAATTCTTAAAGCTCTTGTTGCATACTATCAAATTGCCTACAAAGAGAATTTCCTGCTGTGGAATACAGAAATCATCATTTCACATCTACATCCACAGTCATACTTTTTTTAAACCTCAAATTTTGGTCAAAGTTTTGTAGTCAAATTATAATCAAACTGTTTTTTTAGCTTCTAATGTAACTGAACAAAACAATATCTGCTGGCTATTTTTATTCAATGAGTAGCCCATTCTAACCTACTGAAGTGGGTTTTCTGTCTTTCATGTATTTATGTATGTGTGTGTGTGTGTAGATGTGTATATGCATGTTTGTAAGTGTGGGGGTATACTTGTGAGTGTGCACATGCACATGTGTATGTGTGGAGACCCAAGGCTGACGTCAGGAATCGACCTGAAGAGCTGGCACTTTTACCCTATTCTTTGAGGCAGAATCTCTCACTCAAACCCAAAGCTTACTACCATAGTGGGTCTTGCTAGTCAGCTTGCCCTGGGGATCCCTCTCTGCCTACCAAAGACAGGAATTACAGGCAGCCTGCTACACTATTTACACGGTTCTGGAGATCCAAACTAGATACTCTTACATGTGTAGTAAAAGCTTTAACCACTAGGTCATCATCCTAGCTCCAGTCCCAGTGAACTGTTTAATAGCTCTTTATCAGTTCTGTGTTTACCATTTGTCTTTCAAATTTGATGTCACACTAAAGCTACCTGCTTTAATAATCATTATAATAACTAATCTTTCATTTCTGTTATGTCCATGCCTAAGAGGAATTCTCTGAAATAGAGATTAGGTGAGGCTAGGGCTTCCTTTATTTCAGTTATTTCTTCATTCATTTGATAATACATTCATTTTTATCCATAACAAATTATATGACTCGACTCCAAAGATTTAAGCAAATTAATTGAATAATCACCTCGTCTTCAATAAATTCAACTTATTAAACAGAAAGAATAGCCTAACTTTTCCCAAACATTCTGAAATAACATGAGGACCTGAGTTTGATACTCAGGACCTATGTGAAAAAGCTGAGCATGGTGGTATGCAACTCTAACACAAGCCCTGGGTAGGCAGAGACAGGAGGAGGCAATTCAGTGAGCTCCAGGCTCAACGAAAGACCCTGTTTTCATTAGGGTAGAAGACAGTGATCAGCTGAGGAAGAAATCCAAATCTACCTCTGTGCTATACAGACACAGACACAGACACACAGACACAGACACACACACACACACACAGAGTAATGCTTACACACATGAATACGTACATATATACAAAATAGTACAAAATTATTAAGAAGAATTG